GCCGGCCCAAAGCACACTGAGTGTCTGCTCAGGTGTCTCTATTCACCTGCGCCATGTTTACTACGTCCCGCCCTCTCCCGCTCTCCTCTAGGTTTAGCCTACATCTTCCGGGCCGAGAGCTTCCCCGCTGAACATGTCAGAAATTCTGTCTGCTTTGTACGCAATTTGGAGAGATAAAAATAATTCATGGCAGAGAATCGGTTCTGTCTGGAGCTCCATCTTTACATTGAGGAATGCCAGCATTCTGTTTTGTCAGACGTATCCTAGCAACCGCTGGAACTGCCTATAATCATGTACTACAGCCATTCCAGTTGCAGGGTTACGGGCTCGTCACCGGTGTGATAAATTGGTTTATTTAGTAATGAATGGTTTGATTACTTCCTTCCTTTTATGTCACAAGCTGGGCAGTGCTGTGTCCCACCCATGCCTCGTCTGGCAGTTCCGGTCCTGTTGATTTCCGGTCTAATTTGAACGGATGTGTCAGTACAGTGATATGTTGCCTTATTCACTGGTTTATATTTTTAAAGTCTTGCACTTAACTGTGTGACTGTTTATAACCGTATGACCGTTTCATGATTTATTGAAGTACGAAGGACAATATGAGAGCAAACTTGAAAACTGCAATATCCCGCCCTATAATAACCAATTCAATCCCGATTTTTGTGCACTGCCTTGTTGCGACCAGCGGATCGCACGGTTTCGTCTACCAACTGCCGCTTTTGCTTGATCGGCAGACACGTTGGCAGGTAACGTGCCTGCGCAGTGCGCACGACCGTGACCCGCGAGGGATAAACTGAGCGAGTGAGCGTGTTGTTTTGAAATGACGAAGGCAGTAACGACTTCACTCATTTCACTTGATTCATATCGTTCTACACTTGTACTGCTCCCTCAGGATGCACTACATCTCCCCCTTCCGTTTTCAGGCTCAGAATCCAGGGGCATTCGCGTGGTCCAATGAAGAAACTAATTAGCTATGATATCATTCATCATAATCATCCCGACGTTTATATATATCTATAAATGACAACGCCAACTATAGGATACTCAAACAAGTTTCACTTTTACTCCAGAGTAAGCAAGTAAAGACCAATTCAATCAGTGGTTGAATTGGGTTTGTTACCCTCGGTCTCGTGGCGGTCAGCGGACAAGTGTGCTGCTAATGGCGTTTACCTCTCTGGTTACCACTGATGCATCGGCTGTAATCACCGCACCAGAAATTTTCTTGAGTAACCATTTCTGGTTAACCATTGGTAGTAATCGGGTCTTAGTGAAAGTCAGCTTTACAAAATTACGTCGAAAACTTAGATTTTTTTTCAGCGCTAAGTATTCTTTTAGGGTTACCTGAAATCAATATTTACTTGTTTACTTAAGTAATATTACCAACCTGTGGATGCTTTGCGTCGTAAGATTATGGGACGAACATATAATTACAAATGTCTAAATAATTGATATTAGGCATGTCAGTAGACCCATTGTTCTTTGGACTATTTCATTTATATAAAAAAACTACCTTGCATACATATTACCCAATGAATGTTCATGCAGTTCAGAATTTTTAGGGAAGCTGAGCGTGGGGCAGAAAACTCGAGCAAAGCCAAAGAGCAAGGGACAGGAACGGCGATTCGCCCCGAACGAGCGAGACATAATAACTCAGGGCGACGGGTTGTGGTTTTGCAGTAGTGGCCGCGGTGGGCGCCGGGCCCTCGCAGCCTTGACGTGCCATTACTTTCCCTCCACCCTTCAAGCTCCATTGTTATTCCTTATCCTTTATCCCACATTCCTGGCCGTACCTTATAGTTACCCTGTCATTCGTTGTTCCAAAGTTTATTTGGCTGTAGCAAATGCGATTTTCATTTTAGTCGCATTGGTATCATATATGGCAAAAACATAATAATTATATTTTGAAAAAAGGTAACGATTGTAAATAATTATCTGTAAGAACAACGATACGCCTGATGAACAGTGCCTGAAAATATGATAACTTTTGGACAAATATCTAAAGAGCAGCGACAATATGACAGAGCGACTAACATGTGGCAGAAAACAAGATGGACAAGTGAAAGGAAAGAGAGCATTAATCCAGTTATTATGTTAGAGGACAGTTAAATTCGATATCTTTAAAGGTATTAAGAAATGAGGGAAGGTGAAGGAAAGGGTGAATGTGGCCTCTCTAGTGTGTGTGTGTGTGAGAGAGAGAGAGAGAGAGAGAGAGAGAGAGAGAGAGAGAGAGAGAGAGAGAGAGAGAGAGAGAGAGAGAAGAGAAAAGTAGAACATACAACTTTTTCCTACAACAATTTTTAATGGTTCTACTTAAACCTGTTGTGCTATGCGTAAGTGCTGTTGATCTCTAAGTCGATCGGTGTTCTGCTACAGAAATCAGCGGTGTGCCAGATTATTCAGTCTCGTAGTTCAGTTACGTTTTTATTTTGTCTCTGGTTTCTTTTTCTGTTATGAAAATGGACGAAGTTTTAAGACAAAAATCAAGGAACGTGATCGCCGG